CTTGCCCTCCCCAAGCCTTCAGTCGGAGAGGTTTAGTTCTCCAATAAGCACAAGAATCACCACGGCCCCACTGTCATCAGTGGCTTCTAAATGTGGATGCATATCTTGTATGGAAGGAAAGAAAAATGTCTCGCGTGGCCTGTAAGGCTCTCTGGAGAAGCAGAAACTGCTTGTTGCTTAATTGACCTCAGCCTTACCATTCTCTTTCTTACCAGACAACCATTAACATTCCCTCAGGCTTTCCAGCTAGTCCTCATCCTGAAGCCTTCACGCACAATCCCTCTGACGGGCATGCTCTCCCCATGAGGTTCATGTGGCTCACTCCATAATCAGGGTTCTTCTTAAATGGGACTTCCTTGCAGTGACCTTCCTATGCCATCCAAATTAATACAGTGCCACCCTTAAGCCCATCACTGCTATTCCCCTATCCTGCTCTAAGCTTTTTTTCTAGTACTTATCAGTAACCAAATATTTATCTAGTTACTTTCCCTTCTTTCCCTTCCATCAGAATATCAGCTCCAGGGGAACAGAGATTTGTTTTATTCACAAATGTCTCCCTAGAGATTTTGATTCTGTAGGTCAGCAGTAAACGTCCCAGAAATCTATTTTTAATTGGCAGCCCAGGTTATTTTGAAGGCATGAAGTAGAACAGCATTTGGGTACTAATTGACATCCAATTTTCACTATTCCTGACTTGATGGCGGTGGTTGGAGGTTTATTTTGCTGTTGTTGGTTTATTTTGTTGTTGTTGTCCATTTGTTTTGCTAGTTGTTAAGAAAAACATCTTTCCTTTCCAAGTCCAGAAAGCCCAAAACTCAGTGTTGTGGTGATCTTCCAGGAATCATTTAAATAGTGACAGTGATAACTGCGAAAGGAAATGGAAAGCAAGAACTCCCTAGAGAGATGGGATGATCTCCAAATAATTGGGAAATGATTGTATATTGAAGAAAGTATATGCAACTAATTTGCTGGACCCCAGTATCTGAAGTATTATTATGGGTATTTTTTGCCAATTTTAAGCTCTTGTCACACAACATGTATGTGACACATTCCCTTTCCTACTCTCCTACTCTCAATGTCTATGTTATTATCATCACCAATTCCTCTTACACGGCTTGGTGGGTTATACTGATATACGTGAGGGGAGTGGGGTAGAATCTTCAATCACACTACCAACTGCTCATGTTAGTTTTTCTGGGTCAGAACTAGCTCTGGACTGGGATTTGTCTCCTGGACCTTAGATATCTGTGCACTGCTGGAGCCACGCAGGGGCAGCAAATCACAGGCAGAGTCACGGGCAGAGTCACTGGCATCTAGGGGACAGGCTGCCTAGGCTTTGGTTATAAACCAGATAATTATATGTGGAATTTAATGAACAAAATAAACTGACGAACAAAATAGAACTGGTGGCATAGATACATGGAACAGACTTGCAGATCTCAGAGAGGAGGGGTGGGAACTGGGAGAGATTAGCCAAAGAACATATGTGCATATATGCACGGCGCATGGCCACAGACAGCAACATGGTGAAGTTGTTGGGGGAGGGGGATGGTGGGGCAACAGTGGGGGGACATCTGTAATGGTGTCAACGATAAAAAAAGGGAAATAGTTCCAAATATTTAAAAAAAGTCTCTTGTTTGTAGATACAGAAGGAAATGGGAGCGCTAAAGAGCAAAAAAACCTCAAGATGAGCAAAGCCATCAGAAAAGGGAGCGGGGATGGAAATCCAGAACCTGCAAGGGCCCAATGTGCTCGTGAGACCACGAGGTCTCAATTATACCGTTTCCACTGTGGGCTGTTAGATGTCGGAAACCCCAAAGGATTTTCTAACGCCCTGCTAGTGGCATCCACATGAATAAATTAACAGAGAACTGTAACAATTGGCTGTGTGTTAGTTGCCAATAACAGCGGTAAACCGTCAAATAGTAAATTGAACTGTTCCCTCGCCCCTTTGGCACATACAGCCTCTGATGTTTGTAAATAGTGGTCACGCTGCCTCTTCATCACTGTCTGATCAAGCTGCACGTGGTTTAATCTTCCCTATTCAAAACACTGCTCCAGCCAGTTCAATCATATCCCTTGCTTTCTGTACCTCTGGCCAATTTGTTCATTTCTGGAAAAACTGGCACCACATTATGCTAGCTGCAGACTCAAGGTTGTATTTACAGTAAATATTTATTGAGTGCTAACCGGGTGCTTGGCCCTGCATTAGGCACAGGAAAGGCTTCAGTTGCCACTGACTGATGTAGGTGCTGCCAGGGCACCAGGCAGCGTGTTCTCCCCACTGCCTGCCTCATATTCTCACTGTGTGATTTCTCCCCTGCTTGACAGTGGAACACTGAACTCCAACATGAGAACATTAAGAACTAAAACCAGATATTCCTTCTCTTACCCATCACATGTTTTCTCCCCAAATGTTATTTTCATTAAAGTAAAATAGACACTGATATTGTCTTGATCTTAAGGAGCTCTCTCATAGGCTTTCTGTGTGTAATCTTGAAGTGTTTCCAACAAATGTTATATGAACCTAAAAATTCCAAAAGCAAATTACCAAATTACCTTGGCTCTACTACATCCTGGCTTCAATGGCAAGTGGCATGGGGAAAAAAAATAATTCTGTATTTGTCTGACTCAGTTTCCCCAGTATGACTGAGAACAGACCGGACAGGGACAGGTTTGAGCAAACACAACTTTATTTATTCACCTTAGAGTCAGGGTATTGACACCCATACAGAAGAGCGCCCCTTTGTTCATCCCCCCCCACCCACCCATTTCAGAAAAAATAGCTGTATGTTCTTTCATGGCAGACATATTCTTTCATGATAATCAAATACATCATTAACACTTCTTTAAAAATGGTGTCCACCACCTAGTAGAAGTCTCTGGATTTTGCTCGCACCTTTCATGTAAACTACAAAGCATTTCCTATTTGTCCAACATATCCACTTGTGTGAAAACATCACAGAGGTGTTTTCAAGAACTACTTATAAGGGAATTACTTCAATGGGTCTCATTTCTGTTATCTGCTAGTTTCTGGCCTGTTATATTTTGAAGAGGAGAAAAGATACATTAACACATTAAAGGAGAGGCAGCTTGGGTCAGGCTGGCCCATCTTTTGTGAAAATAAGTCGTTACTGAATTAAGCGTCTATCCTTGTCATAATGGGGGGAAAGGGAGAGGGTAGGAGGTGTCCATTATTAATTTAAAATTGTTTCATATTTTTTTCCTGGTGTATATGGCCACACATATATACACTCCTCATGTGTATGTAAGAAAAGCCACATTTCCCAGGAAGATGAGTAAGAGAAGCCAGGCCTGAGACAAGCTGGCACAAGGAAGAGCTGTGCTGATGGTCTCAGGCCATCCTTCCACTGAACCAGCATCCACCATCATGCCCTCTCTCTAGACACAGGTTTTTGCACATGCTTTGTCCTCCTGTTCTTTGCAACTACTTTTTTGGCCCATAAAGTTGAGAACATTCAGGAGGAAGAGGAATCCCTGTTATAATGCATTACATACAGTACCTAAAAAACCCCAAAAAACAAAATCCTGTGTTATGAAAATCACACATAAAAGTTAACAGATTCATTGGGGAACAGAGCGCTGGGACCTCAAACTCTAACCAACTTTATAACTACAGCATGAAAAACAGTATGTCGGGGGGATAATTTGGACCCCCAGCAAAGCTGGAGATTGCCATAGTGGATGTTTAACGATGTACAAAACCAAGAGTGAAAACGCTGGCAACCTTTAACTAGGAGAAGCATGGTGGACAAGGCAGATGGAGGCCGGGTCTGCACCATGAGTCTGCCACTCGGGGGCACCTGGGAGAGCGGAGCAACCAGAGAGCCAGAGCGTCGTAAGGTTGCAGCGAACCTCTCTGGAAAGGCACAGGCACTCATTTATAATTTTATCAGAACACAGACTAAAGGGTCTCTGCTGCTGGCCTACGCAGCAGTTAAACTAAGCAAACCAAGTTCTCCTTTCCTCTGGAAGACTCTAATTCTCCTCACACTCCTCCAGCTCACACTTGCCTGGGTACCATCCCCCGCCGGACTAACTTGACTTTTGCATGATTCTGACATCACGCCCTAGTCCCCAGTCACAAACGTCAATTTCTTTTCCAGAGGCATGCTTTGTCGCTGAATAAACTCTATAGATGAGCTTCAGCACCTCTGAGGCTGGGCTCCCATGCCAGGGCCACAAGGTAGACAGCCGTGGCACCCACAAGATAAGGGAGGCAGAGAATACAGATTTTTTTAAAACTTTTTATTACACAGTAAAGAATACAACAATACCTGAATCATACTTTAAAGATTCACAGGTTGACAGACCATACATTACAGTCCAACTAAGGAAAAAAGGATAAACAAGAAACCACAGTTCAGACATAGTAGACTTAAAAGCTCAAGAGTATGCTGACAAAAGCATGATGCCTAGACCCCACCCCCCAGTGTTAGTCTACCATTAACTTGTGGTACATGTCTGAATTAAGTATTGCACAACAACTTTAATTTTTCACAATAATGTCGCAGAACCCAAAATAATATTTTAAAAAAATTACTTCAAATCTGCATTTCAACAGTCTCCAATTTTTTTTCTGTCCCTTGAGGAATTCGGACAACATGGAGTCGCTTTCTTTCCCTAAGTATTCCAGACATAGGCATGCTTTGCATAAGTAAACCAGCCTTGAAATTTTTAAATCCCCAAGACATGCACCTACACATAAAAAAAAAAAAGTTAGGAAAAAAAAAATTAAAAAGACAGGTGGCCCTGTCACACACAATCTCATGACAGAGAAAAAGAAAAAGAGAAAAGAGTCAGAGACAGAGATAAGAGATAGAGGACGCCCTATTCCTATCAGCGACCACCATTCAATTCTATCCAATGAAGATAACTTTTTAAAAATGTGTTATACCTACAAATTATACTCTCACATAGCCTGTACATAAGTGACAAGCAGAAAAGGAAAGTAACAAAAGTTTTTCTTTTCTTTCTCT